TAGAATAGAATAGAATAGAATAGAATAGAATAGAATAGAATAGAATAGAATAGAATAGAATGGAATGGAATGGAATGGAATGGAATGGAATGGAGTGGAGTGGAGTGGAGTGGAGTGGAGTGGGGTGGAGTGGAGTGGAGTGGAGTGGAGTAGAGTAGAGTAGAGTAAAGTAGAGTAGAGTAGAATAGAATAGAATAGAATAGAATAGAATAGAATAGAATAGAATAGAATAGAATAGAATAGAATAAATACCTTTATTGTCATTCATTCAAAATACAATGAAATTTGAAAGCAACTCTAGCACAGTGCCCCAAACACTACATCACAATCACACTACACGGTATTTAAAAAGAAAAATAATTAAAGTAATAATAATAATAATTAAAAACCTACTCTAAAACTATTTAAAACATATATTAAGTTAGATAGTTTAAAAATTGCCACTTTATACATACCTGTAGAACTAAATCACAAATGCACTGTTTGATTCAAGACAATTATTGCCTTTGAAAAGAAACTGTTTCTCAGTCTATTAGTCTTCATTTTAAGACACCTATAACGCCTCCCTGATGGTAACAATTCGAAATATGAATGTCCAGGATGAGAACGGTCTGTGGAGATTTTTAGTGCTCTAGAGAGGAGTCTGGTCTTCGCAATCTCTTCCAAAGAAGAAAGAGAGCAACCGATGATTTTTTTGTGCTGTGTTTATAACTCTCTGGAGCATCTTCTTATCCACTACAGAGCATCCAGCATACCACACCGTTACACAGTATGCCAAAATGCTCTTGATGGTAGAACGGTAAAAAGGATCCAGAGATGGTACATGATTGTAGATGGTACATTGGAAAATGCATGGAAGATTAATAATAAATAGAATGGAGATCTACAACAAACCAAGGGTGCTTTGTTTTTGAGATGGTTATTGAAGTGATAGAGCAGTTTACATTTCACCCAAAAATAACACTTGCACAATGACCAAGGAGCAAATGTAACCCACTAAGACAGTCAGGTGCAAGAAATCAAAAACCAAAATGGACTTCAAAAGAACAGCAAAGATGGAAACTAATCAAGGGAAAGCCAACCTAGAACTAAGGAGAAATTTCCTGACAATGAGAACAATTAATCAGTAGGGATAAATTGCCTATAGGAGTTGTGGGTGCTCCATCAAGGGAGGCTTTTAAGAAGAGACTGGACAGCCACTTGTCTGAAATGGTATAGGTTCTCCTGCTTGAGTAGTGGGCTGGACTAGAAGGCCTCCAAAGTCCCTTCCAACTCAGTTATTCTGTAGTTCAGAGTTTTGTGTATATGTATATGGATTGGAAGACCTCTTGGGTGCCTTCCAGCTCATTCTGTTACTCCTTCTATGATCATGGATCCATCCCATCAAGCCCAAAGAAAGTCCAGAATGGTATAGGATCTCCTACCGCGGGCAGGAGGTCTCCAAGGACCCATTTTTCTATGTTTTAACTTTATTTCATGCTACATACACACAAGACTTTGAACTACTAAGAGTCAAGGGGACTTGGCACCATATATGAGTTAATGGATCGGAGTAGAGACATGATAACAGTATTCCAGTATTTGAGAGGTTGCCACAAAGAGCAGGAGGGGTCAACTTATTTTCCAAACCACCCGAGGGAGGGACAAGAAACAATGGATGGAAACTAACCAAAGAGAGAAACAACCTGGAATTAAGAAGAAACTTCCTAACAGTGAGGACAATTCACCAGAGGAACAGCTTGCCTTCAAAAGTTGTAGGTGCTTCATCACTGGAGGATTTTAAGAAGAGACTGGACGACTATTTGTCTGATTGGTATAGGGAGGTTGGACTAGAAGATCTCCGAGGTCCCTTCCAGTTCTATTTTGATTGATTGATTGATATCAAGGGGGGTGGAGTTAGGTCTCTTACAGAGGCATAGAGATTCCAAACTGATGATGCATTTGACCCCAGCCTCAGTCTCAGCCTGGTCTTCTACTTCAAGAATTCCATGTCCAATTCAATTTCAATATTCTAATGACACCTAGGTGATTTGATTTGGACTTCCAAATTGATGCATAGAAACCTGTTTCTGGGAATGTCAGAACTATCCAAAAATAGTCCCAACCCATTCAGAGGCATTGTCAGAAGTCAACCTCCTACTTCCAAAAAGTCAATCTTGCCACCGAAATCTATAAATCAAATACTAAGTAACAAAACAGCTCCACGTTTTGGTTATTTTTAGGTGACTAAACTCTTACAATCATCAATGGTTTCAAATCACTTTTAATTTGTTATTACATCAAACATGTACTTTATTTCCTGTTTCTTTTCAATCAACTACCTTTGATAATATAATTGGTGCTTTCCCTATTTTTCTCAGGCTTTCTCTCTCCTTCTTTTTGTTTAACGTAAGCTATCACTTTCTACCAAACCTGAAGTCTCAGTTTTTTCTACCAACTCCTGTTAGGAAGCATCTAATGACTTTATCTCATATAACAAGGTCTCCTCGCATCTGTCTGAACTAAATGCATAATTTAAAGAGCTCTTAATCGGTAATGTCATTCCCATTTGGTCAGAGGCAGCCTTCACTTTATGATGTTAACTTTTCCAGCAAAGGGCAACAACTTTTCCTTTCTTTTCTTTTTTCCCCTTTTTTTTCTTTTCCTCCCCAAGGATGCACAAGGCAAGGCAATTTCTCATGTAAACCATTTATTCAAGACATTCTGTCATCTTAGCAAAACAACTGGGTGACAATGGATAACCTTCATCCCTCTGCTCTCTATGGGAGGAAAACGCTCTGATGGAGCGAAATTGGGCCACACAAAAGATTATTGGGAGAGGAAAGAAGGAAGGAAATTAAACCAAGGTTGTGATTTTTTTCCCTCTCCCTCTCCTGACACTTTAAAATTTATATTATTCACAGTCCATTCAATTAAAAGAACATTAGTAAAAAGTTCTTCGGTAGACAGGCTTAAAATCCTAGGAAGGGTGGTGCCGCATGAGAAATTATTTCAGGCTCCCTAATTTTCCTTTGCCATCCGTAAAATTTCCTAAACTTGTTGCCTTTGCAAATTTATCATTCTTTACGCATGTGTGTACGAGTATTTGTTTGGTGGCAGTGGGTAACTTGAATTGACTTTAGGTTGATGATTCATGGGAAATTCAAAGTTAACTTTTCTATGGGGGAAAAAAAATTCTAAGGCATGAGTCTCTATCAAAATGCCCAGATGGTCCTAAATTGTAATTTTAGTGTGGACAAAGAGGGAAATGTATTAAAAACAGAAGACGCAATAACAAACGCATTTAACTTGATTTACATAGAATTGACTGTGTGCTTGTGGACGAGTAGTCATAATATGTATACAGGTATTCCTTGACTTACGACCATAACTGAGCCCAACATTTCTGTTGCTAAATGAGACATTTGTTAAGTGAGTTTTGCCCCATTTTGCAACCTTCCTTTCCACAATTGTTAAGTGAATCACCACAAGTTGTTAAGTTAGTAACATGATTGTGAAGTGAATCTGGCTTCCCCATTGACTTTGCTTGTCAGAAGGTCTCAAAAAGTGGATCCCTGGGACACTGCATCCATCATAAATGTGAATCGGTTGCCAAGCATCAAAATCTTAATCACATGACAATGGGGATCCTATAATGGTTGTAAATGTGAAAAAAGGTCATAAGTCATTTTTTTCAGTTCTGTTGTAACTTCAAACGGTTACTAAATGAACTGTTTAAGTCGAAGACTACCTGTATTTGGGAGACAGTGAGTTCTAGTTCCACCTTAGACATGAAAACCAGCTGGGTGACTTTGGGCCAATCACCAGGAGATGGTGAGTTCTAGTCCCAGTTTAGGCATGAAAGTCGGCTGGGTGACTTTGGGCCAATCACCAGGAGACCGTGAGTTCTAGTCCCAGTTTAGGCATGAAAGTCGGCTGGGCGACTTTGGGCCAATCACCAGGAGACTGTGAGTTCTAGTCCCAGTTTAGGCATGAAAGTCGGCTGGGTGACTTTGGGCCAATCACCAGGAGACTGTGAGTTCCAGTCGTTCCTTAGACATGAAAGCCAGCTGGGTGACTTTGGGCCAATCACCAGGAGACGGTGAGTTCTAGTCCCAGTTTAGGCATGAAAGTTGGCTGGGTGACTTTGGGCCAATCACCAGGAGACGGTGAGTTCTAGTCCTTCCTTAGACATGAAAGCCAGCTGGGTGACTTTGGGCTAATGGTGGAGAGACAATGAGTTATAGTCCCACCTTAGCCGTAAAAGCCAGCTAGATGACTTTGGGCCAGTCCCTCTCTCTCAGCCCAATCTACCTCACAGGATTGTTGTGGGGAAAATAGGAGGTGGGAGATGCACTGGATATATTCACTGCTTTGAGTTATTTGTAAAAATAATAAAGGTGTGATATACATAAATAAAATAAATGAATATTTATATCTTGGCCTTTATAAATCTTCCATTCTACCCCACTTTGCTGCCTTAAAACAAAATCAAGAACAATCCAGAGTCCAGTAAAGTTGTACATCCTTTCTTTAGAAGATAAAGACAGAGAAGGCAATTTTTTAAAGAATCTGTCCAATTACTACCAGCATGATGGTTTAATAAGAGCCAAGATGGAAGAGGTACACTGTGGGATCACAGTCACAGTGGGCTCCAGAGTATCTGGTTACTGTAGGCTGTATAAAAAATAATTGTTACTGTTATTATTTCAGCAGGAAAAACAAGAGTGGTATTACTAGCCACAGCATGAAACCAACACAGCCCAATATTATATATCTTGGGGGAAAAAAATGCTCAATTACTATTGTGGGAAACGATTCTTTAAAAAAAAAAGATGTAGCTCTCAGTTTTCCTTTCCCTTATCTTTTTATTTTTTTTATTTTTACTATTTATCCATCATTTATACAGAGCTTTGAGATTTTGGGAAGTTATTATCCTAACATTTCAAGGGAAGGAGATTCTAACAAGATTCTCACCATCCGGGACCACAAAATTCGATAGATGATTGAACTGAAACTTCATTGTTGTGCTTTGCACAAGGAGTTGAACATGTCTGCTGGGTGATGTAAGGGTGTAAAAAGATTTGGGAACTTTTCTTCAGTACCATAATTTTTATTTTTATTTTTTTAGTAACTTGGGTTTTTGAAACGAGCTAAGCGTTCTTAGATCTTGATCTTCTTGAAGGTTGAATTTCACCATTTTGTTTCCATTTCTACTCAATTGAAAAAGAACCACCCCAGGACTTTCTTCTCCTGCCCTATCTTGAAGATATCTACATTTTTGCTCAGCTACAATGTTCATCCCTCATTTTCTTATATAGAAAAACACCGGACTTTTCCTCTTAGATGTTGGGAGTTGGCAAGATGCAATCTTTGGAGTAGAGATTATTCTAAATGGACTTTCTGTAGTCCATTTAGATGTTTCGATTCAAAGGTCCGTGGCAGCCCAATCTCATACATTGACCTGTCTCACTTCTAGATAACCCCTGAAACCTTCTGCAGACCGTCTTGCAAAAAACTGTCACAGTTCTCGACGTTCATCATAAAACAATTCTCCATAAAAATCACCTTTCTTAAAATTCATCACAAAAAGCTCCTTGTGTTGAACGGACAAATATATCACAATGGGCAACGTGTGTTTCCACCGCAAAACTCAATTACCTCGTGCAGGGAGAGGGTGAGTGCTTACGCGGATGCCTGTTTATAATCTAAGGACGCATTCAGATGACAAATCAAAAGCCCTGATAGAATTGAAGGATCTGCAAGTTGGAAGGCTAAACCTCAGAGCTCCTTTTATGCAAAAGCACAGATCAGCTTTAAGCTGGAGGTCACGTTGGGGTCACAGTTTTAAGTGGTTTTCAGGCTTGAAATTGCCATAAACGAAGACAATAGGAAGTCCATGGTGAAGCTGAGGAATAATATTTAGATAATTGTGAGATCCTTCATCCGGGATTCAGGAGAAGTTCAACTCGATTGAACTTGGGCTCAGCAGGAAGTCAAACTTGTGTTTGAAGAGGCCTCTTTGCCTTCGGAATCTTCCCCGGGAATGAGAGACAAGCAGAGCATAAAGTATCTTCTCGACCTTGGTTCTGGAGGAAAAATCTACAGAGGAAACCAAACAATAAATAACCCAAATTATATTTATAACGGCTGTGGCAACCCACATACATTATTGGCCCAGAGAAGGAGAGGAGGATGTTTTCGCAGTCATAAAAACTTGAGGCCATTTAATTCCAGCCTTTGCCAAAACACACTTAGTGGATGTCTCTTTTGAGCGCATGTGCATTTAATTCGGTTGCTGTAATAAACATATATATATATATATATATATATATATATATATATACCCCCTCCCCCACAAAAGGACAGAGCCGTGGCTATATAAAAGGACATAAAATGACACATCTTCCATCTTCCAGCAAATAAAAAAGCTATCAGCTCATAACAAGGCGATGATAAAAGGTGCTGAGGCCAGTAAGATTAAGACTTTGTAATAAGGTTCGGGCGCCAAAACTGACAGCCATTTTCTTTTATATTTATCATGTCTTCACATAGGGGTGAGAAGCCATGGCTCTCTCCCATTGCCAGCCAGAATTTATGGCAGCACCATTATTAGGAGATTGAGCCAAAATGGGACCGAGGTCCATTTTTCCCTCCCTCCCTTCCCTCCTTCCTTTTTTTCTGTGGGGCACCACAATAGCCTCTTCCATTATGAGGGTGACAGCTTTGTCAGTGCTTAGCACGGAGTCTTGTCGAGTACTTTAATATCATTAGCACTATTTTCTTAATGTGTCTGCTGTTTCCAACAGCCTGAAAAATACCGTAGATCATCCGAAAGGGGAGAAAAAGACGTTATCTCACCCCGCAACCCTGCTTTGAAGTTTGCTAGTCAAGTGACTCTTCAAAGCAGAGAGGAATTGGTCTTCCATTATTTTATTGCCATATCTGGGGAGGAGGAGGGAGGATTTTAATCAAAATAATGGGCCCATTCCTCTTTATTGATTAACAAGTAAATATGTATAAATATGTAGTTAGGCTGGGCGACCGTTTTAAGGGGGGATATTGGAAACTATATCATTAATAGCTCCACGGGCAACATTAGTGGATGTTTGTCTCGATGCTGCACAATTGTGTTTACTTCCCTCCTAGTATTTTTATTTTTTATTTCCCTGATATTGCTAAGGTGTGTGCATGTTACATACATGGGGTCAAAGGTCACAGAGAAGGAGCTCTATTCTCATTTGCTGCATGCCCCGTCCGTTCAACCTTATCACCTCAAAGGTATGTAAATATGTAGTTTGGGAACCAAATGCCACTGTGGTAACAGTCGATTATAATAACCACGGTATTAGAGGATTGCATACGTTTCTGAACATTGCTGGAGGGCCCATTAGGATGTATTTAATTCTAGGGAGTGAGACCTACTCCATCCATAACTCTCTGCTTTTAGTACATTTGCTCCTGTTCTATGTTTAGTATTGGTAATATTGGTTTATAATTGTTGTGGAGGGAAGGAGAAAGTAGAAGCAGAAAAAGAGAGAATTAATTATGGTGTTTGATTGGGGAATTTCCACTGAGGGCACATGGAGAGTGGTTCATGGCAGGGAAGGAATAAAATTTGTCAAGATGGGAGCCGGAATGATGCAATCAACCCACCGCTTCTCACACATAAAAAATGGGATGGACTTTGATCATGGACATCCTGACTCATGGACATTCTGGATCCCTGATATATTTTGGAAGACTCACACTGGAAAATCGCCTCTATGCAATATATACAATTAGTAATATATGCAATATGCAGAAATCAGCTACATTAAGAATTAAGGGAGGATGGACAATGTATTTATATGTAACACTTTACAATGAATATATGCAACGCGAAACAATTCATTAATTAAAGCAGGGACACAGCCTTGATACTTCTGTGTCTATATTTTTTTTCATCAGGTTGTAGTTATTACTTGTCCCCCTACATTTGCTAAGTGATGCTTTGAGCTTTGTGTCGCGCAGAGGATTGCAAAAACAGTGTTCTTTAACCCAACCACAAATGTGAATCAGTTCACAACTTGGGGGGTGCGGGTGGATACACCCATCCTCCCCATGAACCTCATAAGACTTCTCTAAAGTCTTCCACATTGTTGGACAACGCCATTCCTCATTCCGAAATATGCATATGGAAGAAATTGTATCTGAAGCCATCCAGAAAGCAGCAGGCTGGAACAGGATCAGCCTAAATGTCCTGGTTATCTTTTTTATCCCCTGAGAAAGGGGGCATCTATAGGGTGAGAGAGCAAGAATCCAGATGCTAGACATGTCTATGCAAATTAAAGCCCAATCCTTGTCAGGCGCAAAGAATCAGGACCATTTGTGAGGTTGAAGCATGGAAGATTTTTTTTTCAAGCCTATACACAAAAATCTGATCAATTAAAGTTCATCTCAAAATTGGCATCAGCTAATGGGCAACAAAATTCAGGAGGGGTTGGACTTGGAATGCTTGTGGGAATGCTACAACTCTAAACTGATGACGTGTTAAACTCCACCCTCCCAGCGCTGCCTACTGTTCTATGCTGATTATTTTTATATGCAATCCACATAAAAGGAGGTGGAATTTTAATTGTGTGGGTCAGAGCCACTCTCTTGACTTTCTAAATTTCCCCCATGGAGACCTGTGCCCTACAATTCTGCTTTCTCTCTTATGAAACAAGGTTTTCTTACTTGGATTTTACTCATCAAAGCTTGGAAGGAAAGGGATCTCATTGGCTTGGATGCCATGCAACATGTCTGCCATAAGAGCCCTGGTTAATTTAATGACATCCCCAAAGGATTTAATTAAATAACCCTTCTATAAAGGGGTGAACTCACCCTTGGCTTCCTTCCCAAAGAAAGAGCATAAGGCATGTACTGGTTTTCTTAAAGTTCCTTTTCATGTGCCATACTGACATTCACAAGGTTATTGCTCTCATAATCACCCTCGCTGCATTCTTGCCTAAAAAAATAATCTTATAGCCATCACACTTTTTACCTTCATGCTGGAAACAAACAAGTGCCAACAGAAGAGATTCATATTTGGAATCGACCCTGGTCTGTGTTTGCATTACACAGGAGATTTAATGGACATTCTGATCCTTATGTTTGGACTATCACAGCCCGGTGTTTGGTTCAGATGGATATCTGCTGATGCCTTGACTTATGTTAGGCAAAGATTTATTTATTTATCCTTTTGTTCCCAATGGGTCTCATATGCTCTTGAGCAAGAGAAGGTGCCCTTAAGGTGGGCTTCAAGAAAAGTTAGGTTATTATGGGATGCTTTTTCCCCCCATTCCTTTTTGCTCCGTTCCTTTTTGTTAAGGATGCTTAAGGTATTTCTTTTTAAAAAATTGTTTGAATGCCGCTTATATAGTTATTGTTTGTTTTTGATATTTACAATTTGAGACATTTTCTTATTCTTGATGTGTCTTCTTAACAGCTTAACAGAATTGGAAGGGACCTTGGAGGTCTTCTAGTCCAACCCCATACTCAAGCAGAAGACCCTATACCATTCCAGACAAATGGCTGTTCAATGTCTTCTTTAAAACCTCCAATGATGGAGTTGTTCCAGGATGGAGTGTTGTTGTTTTCCGTTTCCCAGACTGATTCGAAGATTAGATGTCCTTTCTATCTATGAGGGTTGTGCAGTTCTTCAGAGGGATGTGTCTTTGTGTGTCTTTGCTTTGATGAAGGCTTGAGAAAAAGGGCTCTCCCAAGACTGTGTTGTGAAATAGGAGTAGTAAAATAATATCTTCTAAGGCCAATGTAAAGATGCCACTTTGCCTATTCCAAGTGCCTTCGATGACCCTTATAATAGCCAGAAGAGGAACATATACATGCACAGCATTTTCCTCCAATAATTCTAGTCAATTGCTGGAAATGTCAGAAGGGCAGGATCCTTCTGATTTATTCAAATGCTGGCTAAGCCTGCCAGACAAAGGTCTATTTATTTCTTAAAATAATATTCCACCAACTTTTCCCCTGTTATGTTTCATCAGGCGTTTCACTGTCTTGCTGGCGTGACAAATGACTTTTAACCGTATCTTTATTTTGCTCAATTAAGCTGTAATTCTTATTGTGGATGAAGTTGCCATACCCAAGTGCAAGAAAAGATACATATTTTTAAAAAGGTGTTGAAACTATGGAAAAAGTACAAAGAAGAGCAACAAAAATAGGCTAAAACATATGAAGAATGGTTGCAGGGGGGACATGAGAGCAGTTTTCTAATATTTGAGGGGCTACCACAAAGAAGTGGGGATCAACCTATTTTCCAAAGCACCTGAAGGCAGGACAAGAACCAATCGATGGAAACTAATTGAGGAGAGAAGCAACTTGGAACTAAAGAGGAATTTCCCGACAGTGAGAACAATTAATCAGTGGAACGGTTTGCCTTCAGAAGTTGTAGGTGCTTCATCACTGGAGGCTTTTAAGAAAGGACTGGACAGCCGCTTGTCTGGTGTAGTATAGGGTCTTCTGCTTGAGCAGAAGATCTCCAAGGTCCCTTCCAGCCCTGTTATTCTGCTATTGAAAAACCAGGGCACAAATAGAAGCTTCATCTTGCAAATGGAAAAGACTGCCTCTTTGTTGCCATTAAACCCAAATTGGAAAAGCTTACAGGCTGTTTGGCAGTTCCAAAGCATCCGGAATACCTCTTAGGAGAAACCTGGAGGCCCTGCAATTAGCGAAGAAGAAGCCAACCATTATTTGATTACTCAGATTTTTGGCTGTCATGCAACTCTACCAGGGGAAAGCAAGTCTTCTATAATACAAGGACCAGATGCTGCAGTTGTATTGACTTCTCTGTCATGTTTGTTTCAGCAGCTCAGTCACAACCAACTCGCCAAATTTTCCTCACTGTCCTACATGTCCAGGCAGCCTTATGAAAATGAAGCTGCCTTGTTATCTACTTCATAAATCACTGTCAAGCCAAAGAGACATGAGAGAAACGAGTACAGATTTCTGAGATTATGACTCCTGGAAATGACGCTATTAACTCTACAGAGAGAACCACTTGATTTTCATAAGCCCTGTTGACTTAGCAGAACTGAGACCTCAGCAGAGAGAGATAGTAATTGGAAATCAACATGCAAATCTTTTCACCTTTCTGTTCCTCCCCAAATGTCTTCCTCTTTTATCTTTCTTTTCCCTTCAAGATATTTGTACACTCATGAAAATCCCCAAAGTGGTAAAGCCACTGTGACTGCCATTATGGAGCTTCTTCTGCCCAGGACTTTCATGATTTGTTATATTTTATTTCTGTGTTGCTTTTCCTCTCCAAGGAAGGATTCTCCTCTTTAATCACTAAGTGCCTTATCAATTAAATCCAAGTCATCAGATTTGGAAACAGAAGTACATTATGTATTTAAGTGTTATAATGTAGTTATACTTTGGAATTGTTCCTTGGTTGTAGCGTTCGTTGCATTTACCTAATATTAGTTTTGGACCATAATAAAGATAATTAATTTTTCTTGAGGAAGGACTGAAATTGCAGAGTAGGGCGAGGTCCAATTACTCTGCTATAGAGGAATTGATGAAGATTGGACCAGGCATGGTTTGCCTCTGAAAGTTGTGGGTGGCCTATCATTGGAGGTTTCCAAGAAGAGATGGGCCAGCCATTTGTCTGGGATGCAATAGGACCTCCTGCCTTTGGCAGGGGTTTGCCTAGAAGACTCCAAGATTCCTTCCAGCCCTGTGATTCTAAGTCTAAGGTCTTCAGAATCATATCACAAAAGTTTGGACCTCTAAATGCAGTGGTCTATCTTCTTGTCATAGAATCATGTTTATAGCTAAGCCATTGACCAAGCAAACCCAGCTCTGCCATAAGTGTTGCTCTCTACTTTCTCCAACAACAAAGTAAACTCCCAAATAATACAAAGAAAAGTTTGAAATTATTTTTTCAAGAATCCTGAGGACAAGGGGGAAAAAAGAGAAGCTTCTAATGCAGGGGAAGTAAAATTTCAAATAAAATAAAATAAAAAGAAGTAAAATCTCAATGTAGCATTGAAGATTTTGTTTGGCATTTGTGCTGTTGAAACTTAGAATTGCAAGATTGGGTTTCTCTCTTTCTCAGATATTATCTCCCAGATGTCCCAAAAGTGCTTTTTCAAAAGGCAACTGGACTTTCTTTGTTTTGCTTGAAGACATTATGCTTCTTATCCAAGAAGCTTTTTCGGGTCAGAACATCTTGGATGAGAAGCAAAATGTCTTCAAGCAAATCAAAGAAAACCCAGTTGCCTTTTGAAAAAAGCACCTTTGGGACAACCATGACCTGGATGACTGAGAATCTCCATAGACTTTTATTTCACAGATACATTTTGGGATTCAGCAAGGATGACAAAACTAAAGAACATAGGCAAAACTGCAAGACTTCTTCAACTAGATCAGTCCATCTCGGAGGACTGCTAATCTAACATCTGCAATTATGAAGGAGTGGTAGTCCAATACATGTAGAGGACATTAAGCGAAGGGAGAATACTTTTGAACAAAACATTATGTTCCCAATTTCAACAATTTCAGGCCTGACATGATTTTAGAGGTTCTTTTGAAAATATTATACATCTTCAAATTAAATCATAACTTCCATTAAAATTGGCAGCTCAAATTGGTCAATCAGTTTGATGGGAAAAGAGCAATTTTTATTTTTATTCCAATTGTGAAATCAGGTGGATTGTAGGCAAACAATTCCAACTATAAATTTGAGTCAAATTTGAGTTGGAGGATTTGAATAAAAAAAAAAATTCATAGAATCAAGTCAAATCAAGGCTGCCATACAGATGATACTATTTACCCAAGACTAAATATTTCACTGGACTTACTTCTGAAGAGAAATTAATAAGATTACTATACATGGTGTGTTTAACAGATGCTATGGATGACCCATGCTTTGATTGTTGTTTGAATTTTATGCACTGCATTGGTCATCTTCCAGAAGATGGTAGAAAATTGTTTATAGATAAGGACATTAACATGCCACGAATGTTATTTATTTTCAGTTCTAACAGCGTGTGTCTATGAAGAAAAACAAACACAAATAAGCAGTCTTTGCTTATTATATATAATTTCCCAAACATTTTTTTAACATACTTTCCCCCTATTATGCACATTTTTTTAAACAATTGTCTCTGCTGTTCATTGGGGATATTAAACTCTCCTCATTTTTAAACACACCCATTTTTCCAGCACAACTCTTCTTCCAGTTGTAGAATTTTCACAGGATGTCCTCAAATATTTGTACGTTAAGGCACAAAACTTGAAATCCAAAAATTATTTTTTGAGACGCTACAGTTTCTGTGACATTTGAGCTCGTTTAACTGACTCTTCTGGGAAGAAATAATTGTGGAAAAGTCCCTCTACGTGACTCGTTTAGCTGAATAGCAATGCGAAGTTTTATTTATATCAGGAAAGTCATACACTATGTTTTTGCCAATCAAAGGTACAGGGAAGAAAAATATCAAATTGGATTCCTCCAAGGCTAGTGAGCACTCCGAGCCTCTTATCTCTCTACTCCCTAGAGGAACAAAGTTACAAGTGTTTCTATTTCCTTCCCCCCCCTGCATTTGAGTTGTTAAAAGTTGTGATTAACCCCGGAGGGATCAGAATCTCCCTAGTTAATCAATCCTTTAAGTTTGGCATCCTCTGACATTTCTTCCTTAAGTTCAATTTAACATTTCAATTTAAGTTCAGAGAAAGGCAACTAAGATGATCAAAGGCATGGAAACTGAAACATATGAAGAACAGCTGTAGGGTTTGGGTATGGCCAGCCTAGAGAACTAGGAAGACATGATAGCACTATTCCAGGATTTGAGGGGCTGCCGCAAGGAAGAGGGGGGCAACTTATATTCCAAAGCACCTGAAGGCAAGAGCAGAAGCAATGAATGGAAACTAATCAAGGAGAGAAGCAACCTAGGACTATGGAGAAATTTCCTGACAGCGAGAACAATTAATCAGTGGAACAGCTTTGCCTCCAGAAATTGTAGATGTTCCATCACTGGAGGTTTTTAAGAAGAGACTGGACAGGCACCTATTTGAAATGGTATAGGGTCTCCTGCTTGAGCAGGGGGTTGGACTAGAAGACCTCCAAGGTCCCTTCCAGCTCCATTCTTGATTGAACATAGTTTAGATACAAGAATCTCCACTTGGTGCTTCTGACCTTCGTTCTGGGAATCTGCACAAGGAATCTGTTCTTCCTTGCAAATGTCCCCTACCTTTCACATTACACCGGACACTCTTCCTCCTTTTCCTTCTCCCCAAACAGTTTAACAATGCGAACAATAGATGTTAACCTTTGTCACTTTCCTTTTTGGTGGTTGTTATTTTATTATTCGCCTCTGCTTCCACTACCAACTCAGCGCAGAGGGCTTTGAGCTAATTATGTTCCGTGTGCCACAGCCAAGACTCCGTTGCTTCATGCTGACATTCAGATACATCTGGGCCTGCTAACAATTACAAATGCTCTCAGCAAACATTAAAGAAAAAAGGAAAAGAGCTTACATTTTCAATGTGAAACAGCATGCTTTATGGCTCGCATAATGGTCAGATAAATACAATGGACGCAGATCTCTTTGAGGGTCCCCCCCCCCTTGGAAACATTTGGCAAAGATCCCCATAGATCAGGAGACCATCAAACGGAGAGAGAAGCCAGAAACTTGTTTGCTTATTTGTTGGTTTAGTAAAGAATTGCCAGATTTAGCCATGATATCTTAGCCAAGGCCTAAATAAAGAAATAAGTCTTCACTTCATCCTCTTGGTGGTCTGGTTAGGATAACAACTTTCCGCAAATAACAGAATAACAGAGTTGGAAGGGACCCCAGAGATCTTCTAGTCCAACCCCCTGCTCAGGCAGGAAAACTTATACCATTTCAGACAAATGGTTGTCCAATCTTTTCTTAAAAACTTCCAGCGTTGGAGCATTTACAACTTCTGGAGGCAAGTAGTCCCACTGGTTAATTGTTCTAACTGCCAGGAAATTCCTCCTTATTTTGCGTATGGATCTCAGAATATAGAATACAATATAACAGAGTTGGAAGAAACCTTGGAGGTCTTCTAGTCTAAGTCACTGCCCAGGCAGGAAACCTTATATAATCTCAGACAAACAGTTGTTGAATCTCTTCTTGAAAACCTCCAGTGTTGGAGCATCCACCACTTCTGAAGGCAACTCATTTCACTGATTAATTGTTCTCACTGTCAGTAAATTTCTCCTTAGTTCCAGGTTGCTTCTTTCCTTGATTATTTTCCACCCTTTGATTCCTGTCCTGCCTTCAGGTGCTTTGGAGAATAGCTTGACTCCCTCTTCTCTGTGGCAGCCCCTGAGCTATTGGAAGACTGCTATCATGTCACCCCTAACAGAATAACAGAGTTGGAAGGTACCTCAGATGTCTTCTGGTCCAACCCCCTGTTTAAGCAGGAGAAGCTATACCATTTCAGACAAGTGGCTGTCCAATCTCTTCTTCAAAGCCCCCAATGATGGAGAAAGAAAGAAAGAAAGAAAGAAAGAAAGAAAGAAAGAAAGAAAGA